CTGCAGAGGGGCTGCAGCGCGTCCTTGGCATGGCCCTTGATGAGTCAGCTCACAGAAAGCACCTGAGGGGAAGCCCATGTCCCTCAGCCCCGGAACCAGAGCCCAGCCCAGCCCAGCGCGGCCCTCACTTCCACACTGCAGGAGCCCTGCTACAGCAAGCAGGCTCCCAGCCAGCAGTGCACAGGCTGCAGCTGTGGCCGCCTCCAGCCACACACCAGCCTGGGCACACTGCAGTGGCAGCCCTGCAGCCAGAGGCCATCTCCACCTCCGGCCCAGCCTTCCTGGGCAGGAACTTCCCCTCACAGAACCCGTGAGCACTTGTGGGCGTCTGTGCGCCCAGGCCAGCCTGGTGATGCTGGCTATGGTGTTTAGCTGGTCACCCACGGGACCCTGCAGCACCCTCAGGAGGCAGGGCCGGGTGGAGAGGAAGTCTCAGCAGATGCCCAAGCTGCCCCTAAAACCAAGGGTCCTGAGGCTCAGAGATGATGGGAGGGTGACAGGCCTCACGCCATGCAGGGTGGAGAAGCAGCCTCCACGAGGCCAGGCCAGGGCTTCACTTGAGTGTGGAGGCAGTGGGCAGGGGTGAGTTCACAGCCAGCACACAGGGCCGGCCAGTTGCTACAAGGGGCCCCGGCCAGCGGAAGGCATGGTCACAGGGGCCTGGAAGGTACTGCTGGCGGGGCTCTGGGTCAGGGTGGGAAGGGCAGACATGTTTTTCTGCAGGGAGGGAACAGATGTTTTGTCCCGTCTACAAAACCCAGTCCTGGGGGTGGAGGGCACATGCCCTGGATAGATTTGGGGGGCCATAATACTGGGTGGGCCTCCAGCTTCCACATAGCTCAGCCCAGGAACGCCATTCCCTGCACAGAGAGGGATGCGTGGCGTGGCACAGGGTCCACATAGGGCACCTCCCCTGCAATCAGATCTCCTGGGACTGGTCCAAGGATCCAGGCAGGCCCCAGGCCCCAGGCCCACATGCTCAGCAGGATCAGCTCCAGCTGCCTCTCCCGCCCGCCACCTCCACGGGCCCCACCGGATGAACCTCAGCATAGCCGGCCCTCCCCAGGCATCAGTCATTTCCCAGGAAGCCCCCAGTGTCGTGACGTTCTTTAAAGGGCTGGGAAGCCACCAGGGGCCTGGGGCATACCCTGCTGGCCACATCCTCTGCCACTAACCTGCAAACCGGGAGTTGCGCTCGCAGGACTTGCAAGGCCTAAGTGACAAGCTGGGGAGGGAGCAGAGCAAAACCCCAGGATACACCCCAGCCACGCTCCTCCCACAGAGGACTGTAAGAATCAGCCCCGGACCACGCAGTTGGCTTCTCTGGCCCCCATGGCTGCCCCAAATGGCTTTAGTGTTCTCCTCTTGGTCCCCAAGTGGAACCCCCATGATAGGCTCCCAGGGTCCACTGCCTCTAACCTGTGGACACGTGGCTGTCATCAGCCAGGCTCAGGCACGGGCTCCAGATGGGGAAGGGGTGAAAGCTCGCGGTGGGGGCTTCTGGCAGCGGTGGCCGCAGTCCTGGTGTTGGCCTGACCACGTCCAGGGCCAGGGAGGCAGCAGAAGGCACTCCTGGGCCTCCTCTTCTGTGTACTAGAGCAGGTTCCTGACTCTACCAAGGAACTCTTGACTCATATACAGAAAGAAGCATCAGACTAGTACTTACTGTGGAAAAACCAGCAATCTGGCTGCACAGAAACTGAACTGGAAAAAGGCGCAGCCCACACACAGGAGGAAGGGTGGAGTGGCCGCCCTGCGAGCTCCGTCTCCAGTTAGCCGGTGCAAGAGAGCGGGGACACAGGGCCAGAGCCTGCAGGGCGCACCCCACCTCCAGGCGAACACAGGGAATGGGGCTGCTGAGCCCCACAAGGTAAAACCAGAGGTTTTCACCCAGAAGGTAAAACCCCAGAATTCCCCTCTCTGTCCCTGGAACCAGACAGGCAAACAGAAAAAGAAGGGTGGACATTCACTCAAAATATCCAAACCTCTGAGAAACACCAATACCACGGAAAAGGGCACCAAACAAAGCAAATGAAAAAAGAAACACGAAGAAACATAATAGAGCAAACCATGTGAAATAAATAATAAAAATCCCCTAATGGGAAAATCAGGATACCTGTGAGCACCCTCGGGCCTGCTCACAAGGTAGAACTTGGCAGGCATGTGGGAACATGGACTCGGGGAGGGTTCCCACCACCCTGGGATAAACCACCCCGTGATAAGAGTGCCTCACAGGGCCTAAACCATTGGTACAAACACCATGGCTTGTGTTGAGCCCTGCTCTCCGCCTGGAAGTCTGGATTTTGGTACGTGCCAGGCAGAGGCTGCCCACGTGACCATCCCCCCCATAAAATATCCAGGCACTGATCTCTGACGAGCTCTCTGGTAGACGACATCTCACATATGTTATCACGGCTCCTCACTGCAGGGTTAAGTGCATCCTGTGTGACTCCGTGGGAGGGACTCCGGACGCGTGGGCCTGGTGTCCCCCAACCTCCCTTGACACGCCTTCTCTCATGCTGTGGCCTTTCACTGTCATGTATGGTAGCTGTGAGTCCTAACAAATCACCAAACCTAGGGGTGGTCCTGGGGACCCCAACTCAGTATCACATTAGAGATCTTCGATATTAAAAGTATGAGTGAAAACCCCTCAAACAAAAGGCAGAATGAACACCGCTGCAAGAGGGGCCGAGAGCTTCACTCAGAACACAGCACAGAAGAGGGCAGAGCGCCTGGAGTCGGAAAGGAGGCGCCAGCCCTAGCTGTGGGGAAGCCTGGGAACCCGTCTCAGAAGGAAACCACAGGGGATGTTGAAGAAAAGCCAATTATGATAGTCACCAGAACAGTAACAACAGATCGTTGAAACAGGCAACTGTGCCTCTTGATTAACACATTAACCGGCAAGCTTCAGAGGCAAGCACAGTGCGACCGCAATTTCCAAGTCCTGATGAGAACCAACTGCACCCGCCATCTGCGCAGCTGAAGTGTGATCTCAACGTCCTGCTGGCTCCTCTGCACACCACTGCAGCTTGCTGCCTTTATTCACAGTCCAAGGAAATGCCAAGTTCCACCTAGAGGTTCCCCACCCAAGCTCACAGTCCTCCTGAATGCTGTCAGACCCCGACTTGGAAACCTGGGAGTTCCAGAGGAGAGAACACAGAGAATGGAAGAAGGGAAATAAGAAGAGAATGAAACTTCCCGAAGCTGACACGGGTCTTTGGAATAACGTGGCTCTCTCTCGGTTCCTCCGTGGGAATCCCGTGCCATGCACTCGGCCTGTGGGAGGGCACCTCTGCTGTGGGGCCTCTGTTGGGGTCCACGGTGGGCAACATGGCCTTGGGTTTCCATATGATTATGTAACAACACAACGAAGAAAAATATAGTGCAGAACAGGGGGAAAATATATAACTTTATTTTTAACATAGTAATTAAACTCCACCACAGAATAAGGACACCATGGGATTCCTTCTTTTTTTCCATTTAATAAATACAAATGAATAAAAATACTTTGTTTTGCAAAGAGACTGCCTGTTTTCCTTCTCCCCATCTCATGAAAGCCCCTGTGGCCACTGATGTGGCTACAACGCCCACAGCTGTGTCCACGAACTACATCCACCGCCACAAACCACTTCTTTCCTCTCCATGGAGAGGACTAAGTCTCATTTAACATGCCTGAAAATACTATTTAGGTAGAATACCTCTCCTTTCCCCATCCCCTTCCAAATATAAGTTCTTGTATTGAGTTTCAAATGTTAAATGATTCCCTTCCGAGAAGGAAAGAATCTGGTTTCCATAGAAGCCCAATATGGAGCCCTTCGACCAGCAGTTGTTAACACCAAGAAGTTACGTGTAAGGCTTCAGTAAAACAGACTGCTGTCCACCAGATCCATTATGAAAGGGAAGGAGAGGGTAATGTAAAGCAACATCTATTGTGTGTCTTGTAGACTGTCCCTTATTTCAAAAATTGAAATCCCTACTTAAATTTAACCTGTTTGAAACAGGCCAAATATGTGATTCTGCATGCCACAGATCTGTTATTGCTTGTAATGGAGGCCCCGGCCTGTGCTGCGGCGCTGCCCTCGCTGGGATATCCAGACTGCATCAAAATCACAAGCCACAAGGAAGTGCTGTCCCCACCAAGGCCGGGGGCCCCGCACACCACACCTCCACGAGCACCGGTCAAGTTCGGGGATAAGGCACACTCTGTGCTCTGCTCTAATGGCAGATGCCCTGCCGACCCCAAGCTGTGAAGAACAATCTTGTCCCAATCAAGGTCCTGGTGCAACCACATATACAAACCTTAGCACTTTCCAGTGTTTATACTGGAAAAGACAAACTCCAGTAGATCCAGTAGAAACTTGGACTAAAACTCTCAGTCTCGTATGTTGCTGCTCTAGCAATGCCCTAGTAACTAAGACATAAATGTAAATCTCTAATAAATATGATCAGGAAAATACCACCAGTCTTTATGACCAGTAGTAACTTTTCCATGTATGCCGTTTTTTTTCATTAATCCACCTTTGTAAAAAGTATTTATTTCCTGAAAGTTTTGCTAAGTGTGATAGCTTGTAATACATAACAAATGAAAAAGATGTAACTAGATTATAAGAAAAATATCTGCTTGTAAAATATAAAGTACTGGGACAGAGTTACATACTTCTCACAGGCACCCGGGAAGCAGAGGGCCCAGAGACGCCGGGCCCCGCCCTTTGCTTTGCCTCAGGCCCCATTTCTCCAGAAGAAACATTACTGGGTCTCGTCCCCTGGGATCTGGCACATACCCCCTCAGCACTCCGGGAGGGAAGGGAAGTCACTGACTGTTGGGTTCGTAGGCGCTTCATCTGGGAGAGGTAGTGGTGACAGCCTGGACGATCTACCTGAACTGCCGAGCCAGGAACACTGTGAAACTGCATCCAGCTGTCTTGATCCTACATAAATCACCATTTCAGAGGAGAAGCCTGTTTGGGGTGAGAAAGGTGAAAAAAAGTAGATGCTGTGGGTCTGCAAGCTTGCCTTTTTTGGTACTAGCACAGAGTGCCAATGTCACTAAGTGTTCCAGAGAAGAAACACTGGAAACTGCTTGGTGGCGTGTGCTGGCACGCACGCGTGGGGCACACGTCTGTGTGCTCGCGTGGGCGAGGCCTTAGAGCCCCAGAGACTTCTGTACGATCTGCTTGGCGATCTTGTAAAACTGCTCCCGGTCATCTCGCCACATCTTGGAAGCATCCACGTTCGCTCCACTTTCATCATTGGGTTCTGGAAGAGAACGGAGACATTCTCCACATGAAAGGGACTCTGAAAAATAAGGACTTGGCCAGATGTTCCATTTCATTTAAAAACACTGACGGGTCTTCCCACAGATGTATCGCAGAACAAACACGAGCCTCCCCACCTGAGGGAGGGAGACTGAGAAGCGGTGTGAGGAAGATCCACTCTCATAACCCTGCCTTCTGAGTGTCTGAAAGTGCCCGCACCAGTCATCTCTGTCTCACTCTAGAAACACTAGGACAACCTACACACGACCTGCAACCTCACCCCGGACAGCAGCCACAGGCCACCCACCTGCCTGCTTATGCCCCCTTAGGAGGTGGCTCAGTGGAGACCACTACTCCCCCTTACAGCCCTACCAGAGGACAAGGCAAGGAAGACGCGGCCCCACCATGGACATTTGGCCCGCGTGGACACCTGACCCTAGCCTGGACAGTCCATGTGCTTGGCCAGCTGGGGCCAGCAGTTGCTCCAGAACTGGAATCAGGAAACACACCGAGAGGCAGCCAGGGCCTGCCGGGAAGGGGCGGGAGAATTGGAAGTTAGGGAGTGCTGAGCAGCAGGCGTGAGCCAGCACAGCCACGCAAGGGGTCAGAATGCTGTGAAGCGACTGGACCAGAGTAGAAAGGGCAGCCAAGAGGCCGACACGCAGTGGGCAGTCCCGACCCCATGGTGGCCCCAGGCTGCTCCCTCACACTCCAGCCTTGCTTCCCAACACTGCCACAGTGTCTGTTTCTCCAACCAAAACCTTTTCCCCTTCCTCCTTTCTTACTAGGTTTGATGTGCGAGGCCTCCTGCTGGACTCTGGGTAGGCTGAGGGCACAGTGATGTGGCCCCTCAGAGGGGTGCCGTCTAGCAGGCTGACAGAACTTACACACCCACAAATGCCTCATTTCAAACTAGTGCTACGAAGGGAGAATCAGACAGCAAGAGGCAGAGTGACCAGGGGTCCTGCAGGCCCCTCGGAGGATGTGGCACTTAGGGGACCCCTGCCTGGGCCTGACGGTGGGGGGCACACAAGCATGGACAGAGCCAGCCCTGCTCCCACCCAGCACCTCCGACAGCAGAAGCCCCACTGCCCAGACGGCTTGCAGAGGGCCGGAGGGCAGCAGCCCCTGGGGCAGGTCAGGCCAGGGGCACGGCTGAGCGGGCAGCAGGCCGGGCAGGAGGGGCGAGGCACGCCCGGCCGAGCTGGGTGTGGGGATGGAGCCAGAAAAGCAGCTCAGACCAGAGGACGTGTACTGAGAGGGGTGCGTAAGGAATACAAGGAAACCCGAAACAAAGAAGAATCCATAGCAAAACTGTTTACAATGGCAGAATCTATAGCTGCCATCTGAAGACAGCCAAATCAGCGCCTCTCTGCCATCTTCCAATGCCCCTCACCCGATTCCTTCCACTCAGGGTGTGAATGGAGAGTGGTGTCTCCACTGCTGTGTATCGTATGGTTGACCATAATTAACCACGCTCTGGAGCCGAAATCCTGGACTCCACATTCCTCTGGACTCTGCCGGATCCCAAGTGGCCGCTCGAGGTCGGCCTCTTCCTTGGGGCCTCTCACAGCACTGTCAGCTCTCTCCTTTTGATGAGCCTCCATTTCTGTAGCACCTTTCTCTTGCTGGTTTTCTAGACCATTCCTCCTACATTCCTCTGAGGACTCCTTCCCTTCCACAGCCCTTTCCACATCATCCCTTTGTCCCACTCGTCGTCACCTACTGTCTTATCCAGAGATGACCCCACACCCTCCACCACCGGCCCTCAGCTGAGGGGCTCCCAGACAGCCCCCGAGGGTGGACACTCACACCCCAAACTCTTCTCTTCCCCAAATCCTGCTCCCTCTGGATTCCCGTCCCCAAAGACAGCACCCTGCTACCCAGGCACTAGGTCAGAAACACAGGAGCCACCCTGCACGCCAGTGAGCCTGAGCCTCCCCAACCCAGCCCTTCCTCTTGGCCCCAGGACCCTCCCTGTCCTGCTTCAAGCCCTGATCTTTCCTCTCAGGCCATGTAAATCCCAGACCAACAGCTCTCTGTTTCTCCTCCATTCCGGCACACTGCCGCAAGGACGACCTTTCTAAGGCACAGCATGAATATCTAACATCCCTGTGGAGGGTCAGGCTCCGACCGAGCACACTTCCCCAGGGCTCCCCCACCCCCAGCTGGGCTCCAGCCATAACAAGTCCAGGAAGGGCCCCCACGAGGGTTAGCCGCCTCACCCCAAATGCCTTTCTCTCCCACTCACCTCGTTAACTCTGAGATATTCTCAACTCAGCCCAGCAAGTCCCATTTCTGGAACTGGCCTGAGAGCCCGTATGTATCTTAATCTCACGATTTATCACAGTAACCACTGGTGGATTTGGAAAGTTCCCTTAGGACGTGGGGTCTTAAAGTCAGAGTCTATGTCATACTGAGCTTTACACCCCAGAATAGTGTCTGCAATACAGTAGGTCCCCACAAATGCCTAAGAATGAATGAAATGCCCAAGGATCAGAGCATGGTTAATTATGGTCAACAATACAATATACACGACACGAGACCATCTTTAAATTCATAATTATACAAAGTATGCTTACACTTGGAAAAGTGTACACAAATAGCATTAAATGGAAAAGCAGAAAACAGTAGACATAAACTAATCCCTAACGAATAGAAGCGAACTGTAAGGATTAAGTGAGGAAAGAAAAGCAGCCCCTGTGCCGTCTGATTTTCAGCAGTGCTTTCTTCTATCAGAGGTTAGCTCCCAGCACCATGGGAGCCCGGGGCAGTGGAGCATTACCTGCCAGCATGCTAACCACCGACAGGAGGATCTTCTCCACGCTCTGCACTGGGCTCCACCTCTCGGCGCTGCTCTCGTAGCCCATGGGGTCATCACCCGGAGCATGAAGGATGGAAATGCAGACTCTTCCGTCAGGGTAGACTGTGGGGGACAGAACACAGCACGTGAGCCGAGAGAACAGGCTGGGGTGACCCACGTGGCATTTTGTCAGGCCCCACTGAGAAAAGGGGACAAGTGGTGCAGACACAGAGAGCGAGCTGTCTGCACAGCTGGAGCATAACCTGAGGCCCGAGTGTCATGCTCACGTCCACTCAGTCCCGGCGGGCTGTGTGGGCCTCTCAAGGCGCTGCTCACACTGATGGCTCTGGGCTGGTCTGTCAGTTCCCATCAGTCATGGGACGATTCCACCCTCATACGGATTGTTTCAAGTATTATATCCAAAAGGATTAAATGAAGGTTATCTGGCCGTCAAATATTTCACCAAAATATCTCACGTAATTGGGATCATTCACAGTACTCTTCAGAGTTAGTTTCTTAGCTACTCCCAATTTTACCGTTAAATCCCTGAAGAGGACTGTGTAAAATACATGTTCACATAGCTAGGACAACAGCAACTGGAATTATCCAAATATCCAGAAAAAGACAGGCACTGTGATTTCTCTTGGTAACTATTCTAATGGAAAAATGATCGTCTGTACTCTCTAGAAATCAGCTGTGTCTAAATCTAATCCATCTCCCATCAAATAGCATCATTAACAAGATACCCAAGGTCTGATCAGAGAAAAAGGAATTTTCAATTCACAGTATATAATCGGTCCTATCAAGAAAGTTAAAAGCATCGGTTATTTTTCTTCTACACACATTTGGGGAAATTCTCAGATGGTTCAGTACATACTGAGATACACAGGAATCCATTTGGATAGACTCACTTGTAAAATTATAATGCTATTAAGTTATAATAATAAAAATAGACCATTTAAAATAAATTTACTTAATTTACCTTCACCCATGAGCTCAGAATTTCATGAAAATTTAGAAACATGAGCAGTAGTTCTCATTTACCTCCCAATAGCCTTTCTTTTATACCTGGTCCCTCATTTTTGCCATCCATCCCTTCTAGTGGTTTCTGCTCTTTGGCTATCCAGAAACTAGCACAAATTCTCGCTGAAGGGAAGAGTTGAGGACACTACGTGCGTATCTGTCGTGGACATCAAGACGTCCATCTACAGCACACATACGTGTGGTGACACTGCACACCACAGAAACATCAGAAAGCAGACGTGTCCCTGCCACCCCCCCTCACCGAGCCCCACCAGCTTTGCTTCCTAAAGCTCCCTTGAATCCCTCCACATCCACATCTCATTGTCAGCAAGGCCACATTCGGTTCCAAGCTGCTGGCCTCTCTCCCCTGGATCACACAGCAGTGTCCTACCAGCTCCCTCCCATCTGCACTCTACACTATACCACAGTGACCCTCCAAAGACCATGCTGGTCAAACTAGTCCCACACACTCAGAAGCCTTCAGTGCATCCCCACTGCTCCTAGGACAAACATCAGAATCCTTCAGATGGACCCAAAGGCCTGAACTGGCTTGGCCCCTACCGTCCTGTCCCCCTCCCTCCTCACACAGGGCCTCTGCACACACTGGACCCCTGCCAGCCCCCAGAGTGCGGGGAGCTCCCACTGCTCTCCCTGCAGGCGGCCAGCTCCACTACCACCTCTGCAGGGTGCTCTCCTGACCTCCCTGTGTGACTGACTTTACAGTTATCTGCGTGGTTCTCCCAGCAGCGTCCATCCCTGCCCGCAGACTGGGCACTCCAGATGGTCAAGCCCCTTCCTTTTATTATTTGCTCACCACTGTATCCCAGCAACTCGCAGTAAATGTGTTGAATTATTTTTTAAAAGTGTTTATGGACTGACCAATTTTTACGATATTGGTAGACCAATCCAACAGTTCTCAAAAATAATTTCTATGAAATAAAAATAGCACATATCCACTTACAGTAAGGCCAAATTTAAAAACTATTTGTATTAATTATCTGAACAATAAAAATAATATTATCTGACTACTGTTAGTACATATTCACATAATTTAATCAGTTTATTGATCATATTTGCCTCTTTAACTCCATGTCACAGGCACTGTGCTAAAGAATGTATTTATCTTCAATATAATCTTATTTTTACTTTTTTAATTACCCACAATCCTCTTTATAGTTGTATTTTATGGTTAATCAACTTGAAATTGTTGGCCTCTTCAATCAACTCTACCAACCATAATATATTTTTTAACTTTTTATTACGGAAAATTGCGACAGACACCAAAGTAGGCAGCAGTGTGATGAATGCCACACGCACACATCACCCGGCCTCAACAAGTGCCAGCTCATGGCCAAGCTTCTGGAAAGGATGAATGTTTCCGAGCTCCTACCAGGCACATGGAGTTGAATTAATGCTGAGATAAGAAAAAAGTACAAAACAGTCTCTCTGAGGAGGAAGTTAATTATCTACATGTAACAACATGTGAACAACAAGTTCCAGATGAGGGTTTGGGCAGCAAGTCCAACAGGAGAGTGTTGCCCACCAGATGGGCAGTCCTGAAACCCTTTGTGGGGACAGAGGAGCCTGGCTATGCTGGGGGGCACGGGCTGGGGGAGGGTGTGCCACGTGGGTTCATTTGTAAACCAAGAGAGAAGTCAAAGGCTCAGAAAATTCTATACATTTTCTCACGGACTAAATTAGCTTTTAGCTATTGGATACACAGAAAAGTACAGGAGAAGGAATTGGTCTCAAATAAGTAAATTATTTAATTTCTACAAAATAGTGTATCTTACTTGCTTTTCTTCTCCACAACTATTAAGATCATAATTATTAGCGGCAATAATCATTTATAAAAAGGACACTATTCTAAATATGATCACTGAAAATACAACGTTTCCTTATTAATTCTCTTATCTATAATCCCCACCTATAAAAGGAAGAAGTAAAAACTACAGCCATTCAGGAATTAGGATTCCTGCCACTGAACACTTTTTTTTTTTTACTAAAGTATAGTAAATTTATTTAAATGACCTTAGTTCCCTCTTTTTAAAAGTAATACCTGTTTTTAGAAAAAAAATTTATAAAAAGAAAAAAGCGATCCCACCACTGAAAGAGAATCACTTTTAACATTTTTCTGCTACATTTCCAGTTATAATACATTTACATGTGAATTTTTTTCAAAAAATTAAATTATAACAGGCCTACTGCTTTTCTCATTCCATATAGCACAAATATCATTCCATATCATTAAATATTACTCTAGATTATTTAAAATATCTATATAATATTCCAACATATGAATTAGTATAACTTACTTAACTAATTCTCTGTTGTTGAAAACGCAGGTTGCGTTCAATTTTTTCCACTGTTAAATAAACACTGTGACAAAGACTAGCGTGACCCACTCTGAGGGCACATCCACGCTTGATCCTCGGTACAAGCCCACTAAATGAAGGACAGCGGGACAAACGGCATCTGGGTTTAGGTCCGCATTTTCTTTTATCTGCACTCATGACGTCAATCCCACCACGACTGACTTGCTGAAGTTCTAACGGTCTACGTCACTGACATGACCTTTCACGTGGTTTTACACCTCTGTGCCTCTCCTGGCTCCATAAGAACTACTCCCAAAAGCACTTACTGTTGGGATGAAACATCTCACAGGTAAATCTCATCTTCGGGGGACTTAACGGGTAATCAAGTGGGAAACTCAGGACGGCAGGAAAAACACCAAACTCAAAGCAGGTGTCCTCTGGGCCCCTGGAAGACACAAAGGACAGACAGAGCTTCAGGGCAGACGTTTCAGTGTCTACACACTTTAGAATATCTCATCGTCTGGTTCCAATCTGGTTTAAATCTTAGGTACAAGCACCAAGACTGAATTACAGGCACAGTTTCTACATCAATAACGGTACGACTGGGCAGCAGAACCTCTCTAGAATAATGGGATCAGAGAAAAGAACTAATGCCAACATTGCAAGATCCGGGGGATTTTGTTTTTCTGTGTATGTTGTACTATTACATTTGAGGATAAAAATATAAATTACGGCAGATGTTAGAGCAAGATTCTATTGTAGTAAATAAACGAAGGGTTAAGAGTTATTTCAAAGGCTATTTTTAATTTTTAAATGTGCCTTACAAGTGATTTTTGTAACCTTTCAGAAACAGATAAAGAGCGATACACGTGATCACTGAACTCACTGCAGCAGGCCGGGCGTGCACACGTGTACCAGGGCTGCAAGCCCCGCCCCTCGGGCCTGAGCTCGGGGCCACAGCTCCGCACACGGTCACCTGAGCCTCACCGTCACTAGGCACGTGCATGTCTGTCTGCCTGAGCTTACATCCTCCTTGTGGAAAATAGCAGAAACGGACTCAACCATTTCAAAAGTCTGGTCAAATTTTAAAACTCCATATTTGATAAATTAACAGTCTTGACCAACATACAAGACATGAATGCCAGCAGAAGAGGAAGAGAGCCACCCAGCTCACATCCTAACAGAGAGATGAACTCCTCCTCCCCTTCAAATTTCATTTATAAAACATGCATTAGAGTAGTTTTAAAAAGTCTTAGACCATCTTCCCCATGGGAATTTTTACAAGAAAACAGAACTGCTGAATGACAGCTACAGACACCGAACAGCAGCAACTGCTTTGGGTACGACCCACCAATCCAATAAGTAAGCAAGTGAATCCTATCCTATTCATGAGAGCTGAGAGGAGCAGTCCCATCATAAACACCTCGTCTCCCTAGGCAACGACCTGTAACATATTAATCCTACAACACAATGCAGGGGACCATCACAGGCGGCCGAGACCTTGTTCACCACAGAAGCAGTTCAACGCAGGAGACCTGCTGCCTTGCACAATGAATACAAGATGTGGCACAGGAAAAAAAAAATTAAAATATATTTATTCTAAAACAATCTTCATTTTTTAAAAATTATTTCTTAAAATTACAAATTTATTTTAAAGCTTGATCAAAGTATTTTGATTCCATGAAATCAAAATACAGATTTGCAAATTCAGAAACAATATTTATATCCACAATTAAAGGATAAAGACAAAAAAAATTCCCAAAGAAACTGAACAGAGAGCTTGGTTCTCTTTGGTGACAACACTCAGGGCTTTCGACGGCACCACTGCAGCGGCCACCAGGATTGTGTCATAGGGACAGAGGGACAGACCGCAGCAAAATGGTCAAAACGAGAACAAAGTGAAAAGGTGTATAGAGCCCAATTTTTTCAATTTAAGACACAAATCTTGATTCTGAAAACTGTGTCCTTGCTACCTCTTGGGAAAACAAGAGTGAATCGCTACTTTGTTTTGGAGGGGTGAGCGTCACTGTACCGCAGCACCTGGAAGCCTTCGAATGAAACCAGGACAGGGAACGCCACGTGAAGAAGAGGCAAGCACGGGGCTGGCTCCAGGGCTGCCGCTGGCCGGGGAGGCCGTCTGTCCCAGGGAAGGGGCTGCAGGCGGCACGGGAGAGAGCACCACCACCACCTGGCAGCTAGGGCCCTGCACTGCTCTTCCTGAAGGACACCCGCAAAGCCTCCCCCTCTGCACAGACCACAGGTGAGAGATTCACAATCATCCCCCACCTCTTCTCCAGTATAAATTTCAGCATTTCCAGCTCCAAGCAGACGATAAACGCCACTCCGTTAGCACTCCATGCGTCCTTCTGACGAAAGGTGCCAGGGAGTGCTGTTTTCATGTCACTGTTAAGCAAAGCTGGGAAGTCCAAGGATTAACTGACTTGACATCAAGTTGCTAAATCGGTTCAGTAGAGGAGTCAGGGGTAGAGCACAGTTCAAAGTGCTACCTCAGAAAGCTGGGCAGAGAAAACACCTTTAAAAGCAACATTGTTAATAAGTCAGGAATGCTTGCCAGTGACTCCGTATTTCTGGCACCTTTGAATTAGAAGAGAAAAAAAGGTCTGGGTAGTGCTTCTGGAATAAGCCAAGTGGTATTTGCTCAATACTTTGATAAACAGTTCTTTGTTTCTCATAAGAGGGCTTTTTTTTAATTAAAAAAAAAATCCACTGGGTCGTTTGTAGCCTCAGAAGCATGATCAAACATTTCCTAAAATGCTCCCACATCTTAAATATCAAAGCTATTTTCAAATGCTCTAGTTCGCTACCAGTTTGAAACTGGGTTTTTTTTTTCTTCCAGAATGCCCTGGTGCCTGGGACAAGTATGCAGGTGGGCCCATGGGTGCAGTGGCATGCCTGCTGACTTAATGGAAAATGCTATGGAGTAAATTCCTGAACCAAGACAGGGAGACACAATTAGTGTTACTTTTGGACAAGTTTTGTTGCCATAATCCAGGATGGCCTCACTTCTCTTTCACTAAAGAAGGCCTCATCTCAAAATCTTTAGGAAAAGACAGACGAAAGGTACAAGAAGAAGAAGAAAGGAAACAAATTTTTCTGAGGCAAGTGTAAATTCGTCAAAGCCTGCAAATTATTTTCCATCTTACTGATTAAAATAATGGCCTAAATTATTTCCGAGCTCTGAGATAAGTCTTTTACGTGTCTTCTGAGACAAGTAAAGCCTAATAACCACGCTCTACTCTGTAAAGGAAATCACACTTCAAATAGTTCACTCTGCGTTACTGGCTTTAGGTGAGTCAGACGCTAAGGAGCAAATACTGAGAGCAACACTCGTGGTCTAAACCTGACCATTGATTAGCAACAGCCACTCCTCGAGAAGGACAACTGCCTAACTCACCCCCTCCCCCAGAGCTGCACCGCACCTGCGACTGCGCACCATCATGACCATCGGACACTTGCCGAGCCAATGAAAATGGAGAAATGCTTACTTACTCTTTCAACATTAAACTCCGGTGAAAAACTGTTCTCTTTGCTTTTCATATCTAAAACTGTGTCTAGATAACAAAAGAAGCCTACAGGCCTGCATACCGAAGGCAGCAGGGAGACCAGAGGGCTTTATCGTGGCACCTAGGCGTGTCTGGGTGTAAGTGAGCCACCTGCCTGCCAGGCATGTTCCAGGACCGCAGCCTGCACGGCACTGCAGCTGCAGCAGGTGTTGGAGAAGCTGACTGTTTTTTCCGCTGTCCTCTTTTTCAAGTTTGTCACAGCACGTGGACAAAATGTCTCAAACATACATATGACAAGGTTTTAAATAATGGAGATTGTAAACCCATTCATTAGCACTTAAACTTGAACTAGATTTCTAAGGGACGATGATTCCCCAGAAGTTATAAGGACCTGAAGCATAAAAAAGAAAGACGCACGACTTCATAAACACCTTCCACTTCTAGAGGAAGCCCCCCCCCCCCCCGCCAGCCCTCACGCTGCAGAACCCACACAGAGCACCCAGCAGGGCAGGCCGTGAGGGGTGCCTGGTGTCAGAGCAGGCACACTATCCCCTTTCCTGCAATCTCTGCTCCGAGGTTCAGCAAGCACTTCTTGCCAATGCCCCCGCCACACTGATGCAGGTGGGCTGCAGGCACAGCCCGCATGATGCAGCATTTTAGAAGCCCGGGGACACTAGCTCTGCCCTGCCCTGCTGTGCCTTTAATGCTCAAGTCACTGGGCTTCACCCCAAGCAAAGACTGAAGGAGTGCTTGCTGCTGAAGGTCATGGTGCCAGGCAGGGGGGAACTGCACAGAAATTGACCAGGGAAGGTTCCTGCTCACAGGACCTCACACCCTTGTAGGAAAGACTACACAGACTGTAGGCACTAGTGATCCAGGGAAAATCGCCCTCGAGGACCTTCCCTTGGGCACTTGGCGGTCTCAACCTGGACTACGTATTTACCACCCCACCTGGGCATAAGCCCTGCCTCAGCGCAGCGTCTCTGGGGATGACCCAGATATGCGTTTTGTTGTGTTTTTTCCTTCTGTTGTGTTCTAAGCACCTCAGGGGATTCTGAGATACAGAACCATGCTGAGAACTGTGGGGAGGAAGAGGACAGACGCCTTCCATTTCAGGACATCACGGTAGTAGCAAATACAGATTTTCTTCCATATAATTATTGTCATCATTAAATCTGTTCAAAAGGAGTCTACAGTCATGCTCTAATTTTTCTGCAATACAGACATTTCTGAAAACATTAAATCAAATATATTTGAACTATATTTGAAGTGCACTAAAGTTCATCAATTACAAGAACTTTATAGTGAACTCTGACATAGACAATAACTTTTACAACATAAACTGACTTTATTTAACTAGAAAAATATATGCATGTTGGAAAATATCCAAATACATATAAGTACATAAAATAAAAAGCAAATGCGGGCCCGCCCCGTGGCTTAGCGGTTAAGTGCGTGCTCTGCTGCTGGCGGCCCGGGTTCGGATTCGGGGCGCACACCGACGCACCGCTTCTCCGGCCATGCTGAGGCCGCGTCCCACATACAGCAACTAGAAGGATGTGCAGCTATGACATACAACTATCTACTGGGGCTTTGGGGGGAAAAATAAATAAATAAATAAATAAAATTATTAAAAAAAAAAAAAGAAGCAAATGCCTCCCTACCACCCCCACTCCCCTCCCTACCTCCCCAAGGTAACCACAGGTAAGTTCGGTTATTCTCCCAGGCTTTTTGTATATAAACTCACATACCTTCACCCACAAAATTGGATTGTTTTACATTAAAAATATATTACAGCATTGCTGAGAGGAATTTTAAAAGACCTAAATAAATGGAGAGACATTCCAATCAAGATTGTTAAAATGGCAATATTCCTCAAATTGATCTAAAGACTCAATGCACTTCCTACCCAAATCCTAGC